AACCATCTTCTAAATTTTTTTTAAGATTTGTTGATTAAAATTCATGTCAATTATTTAATTTAGATATTTAATTAAAATTTTTTGTATAAATATCATGTTAAAAAAGTATAATAATTTAAAAGCTATTTAGATCATTACCTTTTAAATATTATTTAGACGAAAGTAGTAAGTAATAATTTCAATAATCTTTTCAATGTCCCAAGACGTTTATGTTTAGTGTGTGAAAATATAAAAGCATCATTAACAAAGTAAAAAATTTTCTTTTATGTCTTAAAATGGACATGTCTTGCATTGATAAATAGCTGTAGACAAAATTATATGTAAATTAGAAAGCAAAACCCACACTTACTTTGCTATAGGAATTGTAAGAAATTTTAAATATGCATCTAATCCCTACTCATTATTCAATGGTAAAAAAATAATTATCAAATAAAAGAGTTTATGTAATTCAATATTAAGATATTAAACATAAAGAGCTAAGTTTAGAGTGCGAAGTATAGTTTAAGGACACATTAAACAAAAGATATAAATGCCAACTAAAAACTTCTTATAATATATTGTCAAGCAAAGTAGGTCCAATTATTTGTATTCAATTCTTCGTAGCCTAAGCATCATCAAGGTGATGAAAAATATGTAATAAAACCATTACAAATCGAATAACTCCATCCATTACATTATATATATTTACATACATACAATGGTTATTGGAATTCTTGAATAAAGTTACCAAATGCTTGTGAAATAGAACTCAAGAATATTGTTTATAGATTTTCAATAACAATAACATAATTCATATATTTATATATATAATGTTTCTTAATTTATGCTGTAAGTCAAAGGGCTTCAAAAGAAAAAAAATGTAACTTTACTCATTTATTTTATATTAGCAAGTTGATGAGTGACTGTTTGCCCATTCTTCTCATATTCTTTTCACCCAGCCCAGTAACTCATTCTATAACATTGAAATCAAAGTAAATATAAAACCAAGTATGAATTAATCTTATAACATCATGTAAATAAGGTATGGCCATAGTCATAAAGAATGAAGAGATAATGAGATAAGTGTGTATCTAAATAAAAGTTGATGTTGCTATATGGAATTCTACCAACAAAAACTAAAAGCAAAAAATAAATATATCCATAGCAAACATTTGTAATCGCAAAGATGATTATACCTATGATAATTATTCAATTTAAAACAATTTTAATGACACATAGTTTTTGGATTGAACCATTCTTTAATTAAATCTGATCTGCAAAATCAAATTTTAGGTCTGAAAGTGCGATTACGCGTGAGAAAGGTTATAACACCCTCACAGCGCTCATCAAAAGATGGTATCAGTTTAATTTCAAATTATCCAAGTTTTAAAAAGTGTTTATGCTTTTATCAAAATATTAAATATTAAAAAATAGTCTTAAAATTATCCTAATAGTTTGGTAGCAATTTAAGATAATTCTCTCACTTCAAAAGTATTCATAAGGACTAGTATCATACCCTGAAAAGGCTTCGTCATCGAATTTATTTATTTTTTTATTAAAAAAAATCAGTAAAGTCTCCCAATAGTTTGATGAGATTTTATTGTAAAAAGATTTACAAAAATTTTAAGGATTCATTAAGTTTTCTAATAGTTTGGTAAGACTTAATTTAGAAAATAATCTTCCAATTGTTTGGATGATAAAATATTTTTATTATTTTTTATTAGTTTATTTTATTTTTTAAAAATTGATTATGAAATTTTCAATAGTTTAGTAGATTTCATAAACCTATTTGAAAAAGATATTTTTTATTTTTTTATTTATTAATTTTATTTCTTTGTTTTTCAAACTTATTATGAAAAGTTTTTTTTTTTTTGTTTTTATTCTTTGCTTCTTTTGTTTTCTAAAAAAAGATTTTTTTAAAAAAATAAAAACCAGTAGAATTAAATAAAAACTAAAAATTAAATCAAAACTTAAGATAATAAAATAAAATAATTAAAAAAATAAAATGAAAAAGAAAAACCTGCGATTCAGGTTGAGTCTATACGCGGGTTGGTGTGTGGGTTTGTGGGTCATGCACAGATCTTGGGTTGTCCAAAACATTGTCGTTTTTGGTTGCTATATAAGCCAAATTTGGTCCTTTCTCTTCAGAAATCCTATGCTCTCTCTCTTTAGCCCCAAACGTTTTTTCTTCTCTCTAAAAAAAATCAAAAATAACTTAAGAACTTCAATCGAAAACTGGACAAAACCCATCGGTTTCTGAAAATCTAGTCGAGAATTAATCAAAAAATTCAATCCTTGCTAGGAAATTCAATCAAAAACTCCAATATTCATCCCAAAAACCCAGGAAACCCAAAAAAAAAAAACTCAGAAAAGCCTAATAAAACCTAGAAAAACCAGAAAACCAAGAAAAAACCCAAAAAACCTCAAATTTTTCAAAAAAACCTAAACTCCTACCTAGAAATCCTAGAATCCTAATCCTGCACTCTAGAATAGAAATCCTAAACCCGAATCTTTCCCAAAAATTTTAAACTAAACTCAAAATTTCCAAAACCAAAATTCCATAAACTTAACTTCTAGAAAGCTTTTCTAGAAATTTTAAATACCACGCCTTTCCTTATCAACATCGACCCATGTTCTGTTTTGTATAACATTGTCCAATTTATAAGTAGTCCATAGTAGCAGTTTTAAGGATTGGATAGAATACAATCCCAAATTCAAGCTTAGATTGATTCTGTCCAAACATGATTCATGGTAATGTTTTTTTTGCTGATCTGTTTGGATGCATTCGAAAATCCTCTGATTATGAATCACAACTTTGACTGTATTAATTGAATCCCTTTGATTCAGGAAAATTCAATTTTTGGTTACTCTAATCAATCGGTAGTTAAGGAAGGAAAAATAAAATAAAATAATAATATGATATAATACCATATAATAGACTAATAATAACAATATGATATGATAAGACTATAATAAAATATAATATAATATAACAAAAATAATAAAACTTGGTCCGATTGATCTCAGACACAAATGAGTGTCTACATAATATGCTTTATTTTATTTTTTTAAAAGAAATATTTTATCTTTTTAAAAGAAATATTATTATTGATGTAAATAATAGACTAATTAATAAAAACATGATGAGTTCATAAAATTATAAAATAAAAATAGCATTATGACAAAATTATATTTTAACAATAACAGGATTTAAAATTAACAGATAGAATTACTAGTTACACAATTTATTAATGAATTATGAGAATTTTTTTTATTTTTTGGTAATTTAAAATTGAAATATCAAAGATATACGAATAAATCAATCATTAGACATTTTATCATAACAAAATATATATATATATATATATATTTTAAAAAATGATGATGAAAGTTTGAAATAAAAAACTATAGTATTTTTGTTATCTTTTTGTAAAGTAGTTCTAATATAATTTTTTTTGTTAAAAAAAATTACAACAACATGAGATATAGATTTAAAGTAAAAATAAAAGTGGAAAATGATATTGTGAGGAAAAATTAAAGTAAGCTAAAAAGAAAGTTAGAGTTCAATTCTTAAAATTTGTAATTTCACGTTCCCTAAATCTCCTTGGTCAGGTCTTTCTTGTACCAAAAAAATAAAAGAAAAATATATTTGATACTTATAAAAAATTTAGAGATTTGTCTAGAAAATTAAAATTTTAATTGAACTTATATTAATTTTACATAATTATGATTTAAAACTTACGGTAAGTTTCCTTATTTATGCAGTTATTTGAAGTGATTATTTATCGTGATCATGCATGAACAGCTTAATTATTCTAGAATTATAATATTATGTTTTTTGTCATTTTACTCTTATGCCCCTTGAATGGCTTAGAACTTTAACTCATTCAATTTGTCACAAACTTAATACAGCTGTAAGTATCTTTTTTTTTTTCTTTCCTATTACCAATTATATATATGATAAATCTTCCTATTTTTAATTGCTCAAAAAAAATACCCAGAGCATCGCATAGGCACATTGCTAGTTTCTATAGAGGGGACAAAAGCAACCTTGGACCAATCTCCCCCTTCGTTTTTCTGCAACTGTTGCTTCAACAAAGGACAATCCTAAATTCGTAAAATAGAGAGGTCTTCGAGCAGTTCTGGACCAGACATGGATTGAAGCTAAGGGCATCTACTAATTTCAAGCTTTTTTTAGAGGTGAGATACTGGAGTGCTTTGTTGTTGAGAGATCTCAAGTTGGGAATTCCACTACGTAAAAAAATGTAAGAATGAAGGCAGGAAACCTTCCTCTGCTAAAGAATCCATACTTTCACATTTGCCTTAAACAGGGCAAGTATAGATATATCAATCTTATTCAATCGTATTCATTTACGATGAAAAATTTAATTTTTTATTCAAATGAATATTAAATTTTGAAAATACAAATTGTTATTTAAAGTTTTATTAAATACATGGACGAAAAGAATAATATAATATCCGTTCTATAATTGTACCTATATATATTTATATATATTTAATAAATAAATTTTTATTAAATAATATAAAATTTATTTTAGATTAATTAGAACTATTATATTTTTATCTAAAAATATATATTAATATATGAGTTAATATTTGATACACTTAATGTAAATTTTTAATTCCACAAGAGATGTTAAAATTTTGATAAATGTTTCATTTATATTTTTAATTAAATTTTTTTATTTTTTAAATATACTTTAAAGGATATGTGTTATTTTTTTAACTCTACTTATAAACCCTAAAAATTTCACTGTAAAAAATAAAAAAATTTCCCTTAATATATATTTATAAAAAAAATAAATGTGAAAAATAAAAATAAAGTAAAATAAAAACTTTGGTTTTTATTTTTTTTAAAAAAGCTATAGATTACTTATATTTATTAAATACCTACGAGAATGAAAATATGGATAAATTTAAAATATCAATTAAATATGAATATATTTATAATAAATTAGAAAATAAGGATAAAAAATGCTTTATCCACTTTGTACCCTAAACATTGGTATTCTTAAGCAAGCAGTGAGTTTTTCACAGAAGGAGACAAAGAATGAGTTCAAATGGCAAGAGAGAGGGATCTAAACTAAATTTATAATATACAGCATATAACAATGCTTGTTAGCTGGGTGAAAATATATTAATGTAACAACATTCTTTGGGACCAAACCTTGTTGATTTTGCACAGAAAGGATACCTAAGCCCCCTCAGTCAATCTTCTCTGTGTTTGTATCATCTGAGGGCCAAACCACTGTGTCCATCAGCCGTTCGCGCATCAACCCCAAGTTCTCATCCGAAATCTCTTTGTATATTTGAGCATGGTCGCATTTCTATACCAACACAACAACATACAGGGTCAACGGATATTTCCATTCGTTCAGCTTTTTTTTTTTGCATCAAATGTTATAGAAACAAACAAGTAAACCTCATTACCTTAACCCATTTTCCATACAAATGAAGTCGTGTTATCATCACTCTTTCAGCAAGCTCTTGCTTCTCCTGTCAGTGCCAAAGATGAATAACCTCAGTTTTCCATTTTTTTTTCAATATTTTACATCAAATACACGGTTCTACCTTAGGTTAGTTTGATATCTTATAGATTATAATTGTAGTTCTGTCACTTGAAAGAATCAAGAAAGAAAATAATATCTCAGTTTTGGAGGAAATATTTTTAAAATTGTGAAAGTTTGTGGTTAAATGTACTTAATTTTGAAATGCAGTAAAACAAAGTTAAGATTAAGCTTTGAAAAGGTTTTATAACTAAAGAAATCGATTCAAGACATAAAAGAATCTATAAGTGAAGACCTTCTATAGGAGCAATCAATTGCCATGGCATCCAGAAAGAAGGAAAAGCTTCTGTTCAGAAAATGCAGTAGGGCAACTGGATGCCCAGCTGAGGTCAATCGACTACGCTGCTTGGATAATATCTTCTGTTATAAAAATACAATAAGACAGTTGAATGCCAATAAAGGGCATCTGACTACCCTAAAGACAAAAGTGTCTTAGAACCAGTTTAACACTAAGGCCATTGGATGCTCAAGTATGGCACTCGGCTGCCCAGTTCAGAAGTTGTATTTTTTTAAAAAATGGAAAATAATTTCTCTTGGAATAAGTTATAATAATTCTTAAGTAATATTTCATTTATTAAAGATGAATAATTGCAATTATAATTATTTAGAAAGATGCATTCCTCATGAAAAAACAAGATTGTTGATTGAATCAACGAAATTAAATGAACACAAACTTTGATCAAATCTCTATTTATAGATATGTCGAGTAACTTAATATGTAGAGATTTTTCAGATCCACAAAGTTCAAAATTCTTTCCCTATCTTATACATTATAGAAAATATTGGATAAGAAAGATGATTTTGCCAATTAAGAGATGCTTAATGGTTTGATTTTATTAGTATAAAATTATATAGAAAAAGGGTTTTATTGTATTTTTTTAGGCTATTCGGTTCATCCATTGCACACCATGATATGGTGAGAGCGAAATATGTCTAAAGAAAAGTGGCATTGACAATACGCCTTAAAGCCATATTCTCTGATGTTATAATTTTCCTTTAGACCCACCTAAACACCACCAAAATTTCCAACAAGTTTCAGGTTCTATACGCTATTTAGGTTTCTCAAACCTGACAAGCTTGCTGTCTTAAGCTAGTTAAAGTTTGGATATATTCTTATAAGAGAGAAAGGTAATTTCTAAACCTTCAATTTCAGGTGGAAAAAAATTTTAAAGCAAAAAAGACTCTTAAAGTTACCTTCCCGAGTAGGCGTAAGAAACGCTTGCCATCATTGGGCTTATTTGTAGCAACAAACCTGTCGAAATGAAGGGTGATGTAGAAGTTAGTGAAGGAGAAATTAGAACAATTTAATTAGACAGCTTTATGTCCACATTCTGTGAATACTGTCCCCAAACTGATGATATGTTTTTAGAATAAAATTCATTAATTAGCTAAGTACAAGGTTTCAAGCCGGATTTGATTTCGGTTTATAAGAATTTAGAAGGTTTAGAATTAGATTTAACAAGTCATGTATTCATATCATGTTTGTTTATATCAAATATGTATAAAAAACGAAAATTGTCATGTCAAATTCATGTTGACATGTTATTGAATTTGACATGACAAACACGAAACACAGTTTTTATCAAATTTTTATACAATTTTGCAAAAATTTTAAATGATGTTTTTGTATAATTTTTTGTACCATTTTCATGTCATATATCTTATGTTGATTAAAATTACCACATCTACTTATAATAATGTCTACACTTCAATCATCTCAACTACAAACATCCAAAAGAACTGAATCAGCTTATTATAAGATGCTACCGGTAATCTTTGTAGGCATCCCCACTAGATTATTGATACTCCTATAAGTTCATAACAAGAGGAATTTTAACAAAACTGATCCCCTTTATCATTCGGAAAGCTGCTATTTCATAAACCCTAGGACTTGGTTACTTCTATTATGCAGTTAGGCCTAAAACACTGAAAGCAACAGGATAATCAGAAGCGGAACAAAAGAAACTATTTTTATAGAACATTGGCCTAAACCGGAGATGCCACTTACTGATAGAACCATGTATATTGTGGTGGATTCATTTCATAGAGCTGATTAAGAACGGTCCTCACTGCTTTGTATGTGAAATAGTTGAGTAATTGCTGCATGAAGAAAATCATAGTCAATAACGTAACCTTACTTATTTAACAAAACTTATATGCATTACAAATTAAGATTTAATGTCTCAAATGACTTTAAACTATATTGAACTATTCAACGTGAAACTTGAATTTTAAAAATCTCTAATATAATGCTGAACTGTGAATCTGTTATCTAATAAAATATTTGTAAGGTTGTTTGTTAACCATAAAATAACCTTGACTTATTTAACAAAACTTATATGCATTACAAATTAAGGTTTAATGTCTCGAATGATTTTAAATTATATTAAAATATTTAACGTGAAACTTGAATTTTAAAAATTTTTAATATAATATTTGAACTATGAATCTGTTATCTAATGAAATATTTGTAAGGTTGTTTGTTAACCATGTGTCATTATTTGAACTTAATTACATTAGAGGTAAGTATCACATTGATTAAAAAATTCATAGTTCAAGTATCGTATTAGAAATTAAAACTCCAGGATCATATTGAATATTTTACTATAATCCAGATACCATTCAAGATATTAACCCTTAAATTAAGCAATTTGAAAGATTGATTTGTAACATCTGCTTCACTTAGATGACTATAGTCTTCCATAATTGGTTTTTACTATTAATGCACTACTGAGATAAACATTTGCATCCATTGCTTTGAATGCTCAGTTTATCAAATCTCCGGGTGTGCGACAATCAGAAGTCCAATAAGCTACCTCCATCAACTTTTATAAATACTCTAAGATTAGATCCATCAAAATTTTTCAATGAGATCTGGCTTCAATATCGGTTACCTTGGTCACCCAGTCAATGTCTTGACCATCAAGTCAGCTCAGTCAGACTCTGTTGAGTGCCAGGATGGCGACCAGCTCAATTGATCCGACTATTAACCTGTATTAGATAAGCTAACTAGCCATATCAGCACAAGTCAACTATCAACTATCAACTGATCATATCAGCACCAATCCACTCTCTAAAAGGTAAGATGGGGACAGAGATACCTCATTCTAACCTTTTTACTCACGATCACCTGCCTCCTAACTTTTTTTCCTCTCTATCTTCCTCTACCAACTATATTTTACTAACTTGAGTATCGAAGCGCATGAGCATCAGAGCGCATCCCAAAATCCTACCTTCAGCGCCTCCCTAACTGTTCTTTCTTTTACAGGTCACTCTAGTCTTCAAATCAACCTCCAAACCAGCTTCCAGCAAAGCATCCAGTCTCCACACTCAAAATACCCTCAACAAATAGTAAGACAAATGCCTAAAATCAGTATGTCTCTGGTTCAAATTCCACCTTATGTTAGTTTTCAATTGTATTTTCTGGTTTGCATGCTTGATTGTTTATTGGTTTTTCCTGTACTAATGTCCAATAACAATATAAATGTTAAAAATTCGATAATTATGATTATAATTTCAACTTATAATAATAGTATGCTTGTAAAAAGGAAAAAGAAGAAATTAATGCAAAAGTCTTAACTATGAAGATGCTTCAACATCTCACCGTTCTAACATCCTCAAAACTGTCTTCATACTGTCCGGCTAACTCGTTAACGACCGAAAGTCTCCGGCCTTTACGCTGCTTCCTTGAAGTACTCCTATTCACAATACCCGGAATCATCTTCGAAGACAACCTCCAATTCTGCCATGAATCTACAAAAGAACTGCCTAATTCCAACGACCCTGGTCTTGCAGCCACATGCTTTCTTTTCATTGAATTCCTTCGCAAAACCAATTCCCCACCACTTTTGAGGTTCATGTTGGTCGATGGCAATGCATCCAAGCACAAACATGGACTAGTATGACAGTCCATAACTGATGAACCCACCACAGATAAGGCCCCCACCATCTTTCTTGGTGAACAGAACTCAAACAAACAAGAGTTGAAACTTCAAACAAAAGATACCAACTAAAGAAATTGAAGTACCCAAAAAAGAGGAGTTCGAAGATTGAAGTCAAAGATTCATGAATGAGGAAAGAGGAGAATGTGAAAAAGGGCAAACGGAAGTTCTTTTTGGTGCAGTGGAAACGTGTGAAAGCGCGGGTGAAGCTTAACCAGACAGTTTTTGAGGTCCAAAATTGTCTAAGCCAAAGGGGTCAAAAACAAAAAAACGTTGAGACACAAAATCAAAGGTCACTTCCACGTGTATTTTTACGTCCGAAGCCAATTTAAACTTTATACATGTTAAATTATCAAGTTTTAAAACTGGTTGCATAAACCTAAACTCCAAATTCTCCTTGTGCCGAGTTTCGTAAAGACTCTAACAATTAACAGGACGGTTGGCTCAATTTGATTGGTCTCTTTGGTCTTTCCCACTTGTGTGAGTCTTGCTAGGATTGAATGAATCTTTGATGTCTAAACGTCTTAAATTCATCGAACTTCAATCAACTAAAAGAGACGTTTCAATTCAAGTTTCAGTTTCGAAAGAAAAAAAAAAAAAGAAAATTAGAGTCATCCATAAGTGTATACAATTCGTATTCAAACTTGACAATAAAGCCTAGGACGACTAGTATGATGGCTTGTTGGATGCATCGGATACCATTATTAAGAAATAATTAATCATGCATCACGTATACAATTGTACTTACTTATCTTTGTAAGTAATCTACTATATACTATTTCTTTGGAAAGGCAATAAAGTTTTATTAAGAGATTAAAAAAATAAATAGGCTATTAAGCAGATTTATTATTCAAATTTTAATATTATATTCATATTTTTATAGTATGGTTTTTTTATAACAATAATAAGTAGTTTTATTAAGAAATTAAAAGAAAATAAATAAAATATTCAATGAATTTATTATTCAAATTTTAATATTTTTTATTTTCAAATTTTAATTTTTTAATAAAAAATAAGCAAGAAATGATATGAAACAAAAACGTCCAACCCAATGGTAAGATTAGGAAGTTAGACAACTATTAAACAATTTGGTACTCTTAATTTTAATTTTTCTTTCTCTTTGAAGGTATAAAGTTATGGAAAGCTATGATCAATACTTAAGTTTTCGTTTAATGGAAGCTAGGTTTAAAATCTCTAAAAGGGACATGTCAAGATATTAATGGGCATAGGTTATGGAAGACGAATTACTATTTGAATTTGCTTCACCCAGGTTTGAGTCCAAGTAACTTGCTATTGTGCTCTAATTTCTAATGATGAATTGAAAAAACTATAAATCTCTACAAATCTCTCTTATTTAATTCTATAATGCAAGTATTTAAACTAGGCTGAAAAAAATTAAAAAAATTAAAAAAAATAAAAAATTGATTTGAAATTGTAATACTCAATTTAATTTAGATATTTTTTTATTTGATTTGGTTTAGGTTTGAATGTTAATATTTTTATTAGATTCGAATTAGTTTCAAATCAAAAAGTGAAAAATAAAAATATTTAAAATTAAATTGAATTATATATTTTTATTAATTTTTATATAATTTTTTAATTTTAATAAAATGTTATATTATATCTAAATATATTAAAAATTATATTAAAATAATATTAAAATTTTAAAAAATAAAGTTTAAAATCTAACAAACCGCATCAAACAGACAAAATTCAAAAAAAATTCAATCAATTTAAAAAAAAAATTTCAATTAACATTTAAATCAAAATTTGAAAATTTATAATATTATATATTAATTAAAATAACCAAATTAAACTGTTATCATCCATAATTTACCCATAGTATTAACATTGTTTGTAGGTAAAATATTAAAATTATCAAAATAAATATATATTGTAATTATTGAAGAATAACAAGAGTATCCAAAGGTTGGGCCACCCGCTGGCACGTAAGCCCCACTTTGATTTGTTGTTGTTATTAATACAAACATTCATAAAAAATAAAGACCATAAGATTCAAAATAAGTTTTTTTTTTAACACATGCCAATTTGTGAGCATAATTGATCGACACTAGGAACGTAAATTGGTTGGAGAGTGTTTTGTTATTCAACTTATAAAAAAATTTATTTTTTAAAATATTGTGATTTTAAATAATTAAAAAATTACAAGATATAAATATTTTGTTATTCAACTTATATATTTTTATATATTTTTATTCCAAGAAAAACAAAAGATATGAATTCAAACTTTTGGAATGAAAGAGACACAATCAGCGTGAATGGCTTGCTCAATAATATTGGCGTCAGCTATAAAACGGAGAGTTTGACTTTAAATCTTACCTATATTTTCAAATCTAATATGAATGGTAAAGAATTTGATTTTTTTTAAATAAAGTTTTGAATTCAAATTTTATAAATAAAAAAAAAGCTTGAGGGAGCATGCTTTTTTATGAAATTTGACTCGATTTGATTTTTGATTAATTAGAGTTCAAAGTAATTATCGAATACAAGATTATGTCAGACAAAAAAAATTTATATTTTCAAATAAATTGAAAAGAAAAAAAAAAGAATATGAAGCAGATTGTTCTGGGCCGTTGATTAATTTGTAATATACGCCCACAATTAAATGATGCCTATAAAATTAGTCCAACTTCTTAGCCCAAACCATAACAACAATTCCAAAATCGAATCCCAAAGAAAACAAAAGGGAAAAAAAGGACACATGCAAAGCAATAACGTCGTCGTTTTGGAGCATTGTTTAAACTTTAAAAGCATATTATGATTGCCTCGTCAGCATGGGGTTCCTTTCCCTATACACAGTAACAAATTGCGCAAAAATCATCAAATCTGGAACTGGAGCGCCTCCCCGTTTCTGATTTCTTTTCCGCCATTATTTTTTTATTGAGCTCCAACCGTTAACCCACTGACTGAAGATTATAGGATTCTTCTTCCTTCACCCTTTGATTCTTCTTTCAAAGCAACAAAGAAAATCGACATGTTCTACCGAGGGTAAAATTTTACTCCTCCTTTTCTTTTTCTTGATTTCTTCTTTTTATTTTGTTTTTTCCTTTTTCTTCTTGATTTATAGCTATGATTTTCTTTCTGGGTTTTTTTTTTAAGTCTGCTTTTGAAGAGTTTTGGATTTGGGATTGCTGAATTTTGCGGTCGCGTTTTTTTTTTTTTTTTTCAATTTTAGTCGTGATAAAAGAAGAGAAAGGAAAAAAGAATACATGGGCTTAGAGCTTAAATGGTTTAAGATAATAGGTTCTTGAACTGATTCTTTTATTTTCAATATTTGCAGCTTAGACGCTTCTTTCAAAGATTTTACAGAACAATTTGTTGCTTCTGTTGATTACTAAGTTTTTACACTGTTCTACGCATTCTATAGCATCATCTGCTTAAAATGAGTTGATCCTTTCTTTACCTGTTCTAGGTTACCATTAAGATAGATATATATTTTTCGCTTCCATTTGTTTGTGTTTGTAGGCTTGCATAGTAATTTGAGAGTTTTGACTGTAATGCCATTGTTTGGGACACTCTCAATGTTGGGAAGGTTGGACCTCGAACCCATGAGGAGCATATTAAGGGTTCCTTACATACATGTTGGACACCATTTATACCCATAAGCTTAAGCTAATGGATTCTTGGATCTTCGAAGCATACAAAAGCATGCCCCTTTTACATTCTACCTCTAACCAATCTAGCATATCATACTCATATGTGAACCTTGACAAATCTCCTAGTTCGCTTGGAAGTTTGTCAACTTCCTTGTAAGTAAAATTCCGCTTATTCTTGCAGCTAGCAATGTAACGTTAAACCAACAATCAACCACCACATATCTTTCTATCTTCAGTTATCCCAGCGTACCCTCTTTCCATTGATTCTTAGCTGACCAAGCACATTAGGACAGCAATAAACCATGCATTTCTTAGCTTCCAAGTTGTCCTAGACTCCTAGTGCACCACAATTGTATTTGAGAAATGCCACATCAACAAATTCTTCTCAACAGAGTCAAACTTTTGGCTATGATACCACACCGCAACCACAAAGAAGCCTGAGACCATGACTTTGAGATTCTCTCTAATTCCACTTTGATCTCTTAAAATTTGACCCTACCTAAATTACCATTGTTAGGTCTTAACAGAAGGTAAAAGGAGAAGGGGCTAAATTTTCAAACCATTGCAAAGTGGAGCACAACTAGAGAAATACTTACCAAGGAGTTTGTCTCTGGTATTGGGCAAGATGGGAGAATGTGGGCTAATAGGCTGGCATAGACACTATTTTGGGGCATACTAATTTGGATCTAGATATCTTTATATTTGGCATTTTATGTGCGTTGATCCCACCTTCACATGTAAAAGTTCATGTAGAGAAAGCAGGCTTCTTCCTGTCATAATCTTGCACCTAAACTTAGGTGCATCATTCATGGAGTGACTTTTTGTCAATGAAATTGACCCTTGCAGTGCTTAGGCTTGTCAAGTCAGGATCTCTTTGTTATGTTAACCACCCAAAAAGGATAATGAACTTGGAGAAGATATACAAGGAACTTTAAGATAGAAATCTATTTTACCTGTGATGGTGCGTTCTGCACCTTATAGGGAGGAACAAATTAATATAGCATTAATGAAAAGGGGGACTAAATCCAATCGCCAGTTTTAGGCAACTGGGCTGTAAATACAGCTTGATGAGCAACTTCCTAAACAGTGAGCTGTGATCTAGATTTTTACTATGCATCTACCCTGCATATATAACAGTTATCTCCATGATCCTATGACTACCATACGATGCATGCATGCATATTTGGAATGGATAATGGTAGATGCATCCCTTTCATGTTAGGCATAGAAAGTAATAGATTGATGTTTAGTCAAAAAAGCTTGGACACCTAAAATAAAATATAATGTCTAAGCTATTGATGAAAATTAATAGTTCAGCTCAGGAGTACTTGTATCAGTGAATTTGCGGAGTTTAAATTGGTGTTGATCCTATAATACGTTTGCTCATTTCATAAAGTAGGGGGTTTGTTGGTGGGGTTTTGGGGTTGAAATATTTCAAAATGGTGGGATTTTGCTTTTAGTATTTGAAAATTGTAACATTTATATTAAGCGTGATGAAAGATGCATCTTCTAGATGGTTTCTTAGTAGAGGAGGTGCATGGAGCAATAGTGATGTATTAGGAGAGTAGGGAAAAGGTAGGTGTAATGGCAAGAGAATAAGAGTGAGACTATGAGAGAGATATCATTTAGATGGGTGGAAGGTAAGTTAGGAATGAAGTTCGTGAATGTGATTGTTACTGAGTGTGTAAGGATTTGTGTGGACCGTTGGCAGCCTAGAAAATGAAAGAGGTTCTAGTTTCATGAGAGTGAATGTATGATAGCACATGAGAGTTAGAAGTCCTTAAGGAATATTGTGAGGGGTAATTTATGGCTTTAGTGTAGCTTTTCACCAATTGAAAGCCTCCATATTTTATTGTAATTTATTAAAGGAGAGCACGTTCTTTGGGCAAGGAAAGCACAATTTGAGCATTTCTTGGAAATATTAAAGGAAGTTATGGAGCTTACTTTTCTTTAAAATTGGATAATTAGTGTTTGATTTTATTTGATAAAATTTAAAGTATATAACTAGCAATCAAAGAGTCATTTGAATTGCATGTAACTAAATAGAAAACAACAACAACAACAACAAACTAAGCCTTATATCCCATAACTCTGGGATCGGCTGTATGAAAGGCCAAAAAAAAGAACCATGTTAGGTCATAGTTTCAAATCTTCTTGCACCATTCATTTCTATCAAAACCAACCTTTTCATCTACTTACGTAACCCTCATATCATTTCTTATACTTGCACCCACATCTTTCGTGGTCTATCTCTAGAAGCTTAGATCTCTCCTAAATCCAAAAGCTCATTTCTCCTAATTGGTGCACAAATAAGCTTATGTTTCACATGTCCAAACCATCTCAAATGGAATTTAACTAAATAGAAAACACAATTGAAATCAAATAGATGGATCATTTTCTTTTCTCCAAATAAGATTTTTGACATGATTAGCTATGAATTTATATAAAATTAACATGTCATAGAATGCAATTTTCATTTATCTTTGGAAATTAAAAAAAAAAAAGTGGCTCATCATCCTTGCATTGCTTGTTATGTTGAACTTCAATTACCAATGTCAAAGATAAATCTGTATGTATTAATGTATTGACTAGTCTCATCTGTTTCTTTCATGATTTTTGGAAACTGAAGTAAATTTACTGATGGTGCTGATGGGCGTGAAATGGGTGCAAAACGTCAGCGGATAATTGATCAAGGCCCTTCATACTATGGTACTTCTCCAGGTTCAAGCTTCATGTACAGTGCCCCTCCTCCTCCTTACTCATATGTTAGTCAACCTCCACCTTTCCCTGTTGTTCGACTTCGTGGACTTCCCTTTGATTGCACAGAGGCTGATGTGGCTGAGTTCTTCCATGGTCTGGACATAGTTGATGTCCTTTTTGTCCATAAGAGCCGCAAGTTCACCGGTGAAGCTTTTTGTGTTTTGGGTTATCCTCTTCAGGTTGATTTTGCCCTTCAGAAGAATAGGCAAAACATGGGCAGAAGATATGTAGAGGTTTTCAGAAGCAAGAGACAGGAATATTACAAGGCAATAGCTAATGAAGTGGCTGATACTCGTGGTGGTTCACCTCACAGAAATGTCCCAAGGGCCAAATCTGATGATGAAGCAAAGGACTCTGCTGAACATACAGGGATACTGAGATTGAGGGGATTGCCATTTTCTGCAGGAAAAGATGATATAGTGGAGTTCTTTAAAGATTTTGTGTTATCAGAAGATGCAATTCATATAGTAATGAATACAGAGGGAAGACCAAGTGGGGAAGCATTTGTGGAGTTTGCCAATGCAGAAGATTCTAAAGCTGCAATGGCCAAGGATAGGATGACACTTGGGAGACGTTATATTGAGTTGTTCCCTTCATCCCCTGAGGAGATGGATGATGCACTTTCAAGAGGACGGTGACTCTTCTGACAATATCTTTGTTTTTATTTGCACTCTAAACCTGTTATGATTCCTTACCTTGTTGTATTTCAGTCCAGCTGGAAAATTTATTACTAGTCTCATCGAGTCAATAGTAAGATACCTTTTAAGTGCTATTTTCTGAGAGCAGGTTGTTCTATGTTATGGGTTAAATACAAGAAGCTTCGGTCTTTATTAGTCTTTCATCTGATCTGTCTAGTCCTTGATTGTGGCTTGACAAACTGGTCACTGGGTTACAAGTCGAATTTCCTCTGAACATTTTAGGCCAATCAGATGATTTTGCTTTGCAATTTTAGGTGTAGCTTTATGTTCAATTTGTTAGTCATAACATGTGATATTTTGTAACCTTGTTAGGATTCTTTTGATATTAATAGGGTAAAAAGAGTGTATGAACAAGTTTTTATCTCATTGTTTGGAAGATTTGGTCTTTATTATTTTGCTTTGATGTTTTGTTAAACAAGAGGCCTGATAGTATTATCCTTTCAAAAAGTAAGTGTCCCAAGATGTTAAGCATGGTTGGAAGAGAAAGGGCATCTGTCAGTATTCTGAAATATTTGCATTATTCCTAGTATGGACATCAAAGTTTGAGTGAACCCTTGAAGAACTAAAATAGGTCATAGTATTTAGAATTCCAGGCCTGATTCTTATAAATGAAATAAACAGATTAAATGCAGAACCAAAGTCGATAACATTAGTTATCTTGAACTTTGAAGTGGATTATCTTATCAATCAAATTTATTTATATATAAAGGTATGTACATGCAACTTTAAGTATGAAGATGATTCGAAACTTGTATTAATCCGCTTACATATCCTCTTAATACGTGTGGAGTTTTAAAATCAAAATCAAGTGCCCAGGGGAAAAAAAACAAAACTCGAGATTGAGACTAAAAAAGAGAATCCATGTTTATCCATGCCCCCAAAACTCATAAGCCTCAAACCGGTACCAACTTTATTTTTTATTTTCAAGTATTCAAGCATGGCATGGTATTGTCAAATAATGGATAAGCAAGCCACATGGACAAATAGTACAAAACATAAATTAAGTATCCTGAAAGGTAGGTGTTTAACAAAACGACAAAAAGAAGTGAGCTCAAAAGGAGGCAAAGAATGAATTTAAAAAGCTCTGACCTGGTGAAGCTGAGATTTAGGGCAACACCCTTTAATTGTTTGCTTGCTTTCCTCTCTTCTCAATTTTTCAAGCCTATCAGTGATTCTCTTGTCTTTATTAATTTAAAAATGTACCAATAATTGCATAGAACTTCTCCAGTCGGCAAGTATAAAAGATATTCAAAGAGATCAGAGAGTCTTAACTATATTAGACCGTTCAGATGGGCCGGCTATAGGCCACTGACAATGTTTTTTTCCTATATAGTGTGATTTTCAAACAATGAATGAAACCAACATTCAGATAATAATTCTTGTCCCTGATTTTTTTAAAGATTAGTTTCATCCAATCCAACATTGAGGCTTGATGTTTTCTTTTATTTTATTCTGTAAATAATTAATTTATTAAATTAACTCGTTTCATTTAAATCCAAGACTGTAACAAATATTCATTCTCACTAATAAATGTTGAGTACTGACTGGCAGGAATAGGAGATCAAATTCATCTTCATCCCCTCTCCTCAACCTAACCCTAGTATTAAAAAATCGTTTTGTCCAAAATTTGGAATCCAAATTAAACCCCATAAGATTTATTAGAGTTTTTTTTTTTTTTTAATTTTGATGTATTTGATATTAGACTACATAATGGCAAATACTTCTCTTCAATCCCATAAATTTTACGTCCATCTCGGATCTAAACTTGAAATAATCAAGGTGAAATTTTAATTTCTAATGGGTTGAAGTGCTTCGGACTAGTATTAAGCCACTTCATTCAAAGGCTTCTCTTTCACAACGGTTAAATGAGTTGACGGATTATTGCTATTTTTTTGTTGTTGATGAATGGTAAGGGGTTGGTTTCAAATTTATTAATTTATATTATGGCATTTCTTAAAGCAAAACAAAATAAAATTTTCAAGAAAAAAAAAGGGGAAAACTATAAAGGGTGATTATTTATTTACAATTTTGGTTTGTATTTGATATATTATCAATATATAAATTTTATACACTATCAATAAATAAGATAATATCATATTATTAATGAAATGAATAAAATAATACAATCTTATTAATAAATTAACTTTTAAAAAAAAATTAATTTTTTATATATCTATCTTAATAATTGATATTTATTTGTTAATATAATGATATCATTTAATTTAGTGATAATATATAAAATATATATACTAATGATGTATTAAATATAAACTTTTAAAGTTTTTTTATCTCTAATAATTTTTAAGTGAATTTATAGACATAAGCAAACAAAGGTGATGATGATTTATTTCAATATTTAAAAGATGAGAAATTATTTAATATATTGATAATAAAATTTTTTAATTACATAATTAAAATTAAAATGATGACATAAGTCTTTTATATATTTAAAAAAATTAATTTTAAAAAAATGAGATATTTATCGTTATCTTAATCTCGTTTATGAAATTAAAAATTTTTACTATTAATATATCAAATAATTTCTCTTAAAAAAGAACAAGATCTATGCAGTGATAAAAGATAATTTAAAAAATCATAGGAAAACAAGGAAGCCTACACTCAAATTAAAATCCCTAGGATATTAATTTCTTTTTTTAAAATCTCTCCGTCTTTTCATTTTTTGGTTACTGCTTAGGGCAACGGTCAGACTTTGCCCAAAATTTTCCCAATCCAATATTAATACCTACGGGGAAGTTCACTTTCCGCTCTCTTATCCTTCTCGGTTTGTCCGTTAATGTTTTGTTTCTATATATTGTAGTTTGTGTTTTCCCAGCTTAAATTCATCCTTTTGGTGTTTTACTACGAAATCTAAGTCCATCCCTCTCCTTCAAGTCTTTGGTTTTTATCCCTCTGTAACAATATTTCACCAATATGTTTTTCTTCTGTTCAATTTGATTTGATGATGATCTGATATTGGTTTTTCTCTGTATCATCATCTTCAAGTCCATTTTCTGTGGTTTTTTTTTGTTCTTTCCGGAAGTATTTGGTCGTGAAGTTGAAAAGGTTGAGCTTCTAAAGGGATTATTCACTTGGCTTTCTCTTACTACTTTTCAGTCAAATTTTGTAGCTTAGCTTTAAAGTACTCCACTAGGTTTTGAAAGTACTAGCGTGGCATTTTTTATGCCTTATTAGGTTCTTCTCTTCGCCCTGGAAAAATTTGCTTAAGGTTTTTTGTTTTTAATTTGAAACTGCAAGAAATTTAAATTTTGATCACTAAAATTAAGGATTCAACGAAAGATTTTAATTTGTTCTCTCTTGTCATTTTTAGTAAACCTTTGGTTTTGTACTTCAACTACTGCTCTTTAACTGTTGATCCACTGCGAGTTTTCTTTTTCTTTTTTTTTTTTTCCTATCATTCTGTATCAATGGCACCCACCAGCAGAAGAGGCAAAACTACAAGAAAATCAGGCAAGCCAAGAAGAACTCAATGCAAGAAGAAGCTTCTTGTAAAGCCCAAGATCAGTATACAAAAGACACCAGTGTTGGAGGATTTGCCTTCAAACTCTTCCAGCATAAGTTCAGATCATCACTTTTCCAAGATCGATGGATTTGATATTGAAGGGGTTGATGATATCTCTGCCACAAGTCCATGCTCTACTCCAAAAGCTCAAAGGTTTCGAATACCGGGAGATCGATACATGCCCTCCAGCACCAAAGAAGCAAAGGGTTCTCTCCAATTGCTCATATGCAAAGAACTCCTATTGCTTTCTTTGCTCCTCCAGATTTGGAGCTTTTCTTCTTCTTTGCACTCAGAGATATTTCAGTCTGATAAGAAGTGCTAGCTTTTGCATAAATATAAGGATCATTCCAATAGTTTTAAGATCAAGTGTTCTTCTATTTGATTTTCTTCTAGTTTTAGTTTGATATTTTGAATTTGATATCATTGAGGTATAGTGTGAGAAGTTATGACCTTTTTTGTGAGTGATTGATCTAGGAAGAAGAAGTTAGTAGCTATGTTGCTTATTGGGTATTTTTATATTCGATGTATCGTCGGTGTATAAATTTCACACACTGTCGATATTCCTCAAATTTCTAAGGTATACTAATCACTAAATTTAGCTGGACTCCCCAACTAAATTTGGCTTTAATTCCTACTTTTGTTTCTTTTTAATATTTCATTTCAAATGTATTGCTGACTTTTGAATATTGGAAGAGTGAAATATTGTAATATGGATTGCAATTTGAAGTTTGTAAGTGTGATTTATGTTATGTTTGTTGAATGTTAAGTCAAGCTGTGAATGTGAAAGAATAGATACTTCTTCTTGTGCTTGCAAATCCTTAGCACTTCTTGTTTTTGTTTCTTGTTGATGGTAGAACTAAGAAATCATTATAACAAGATTTATCACAAGACCAATAAACTAATATATCCTGCAATTTGGTTGATTTGTTATGTTTGGCATCTTATAATACGGTACAAGGCAATTTTTTTTTGGTCAAAATCACTTGATTTGATGAAAATATTCTTGTTTTTCTATGCTGTAGTGGGCACCCCAATCACCCAATTATATTGATTCAATATTGATTGAGAAAATTTAAATAGATCACTTGATTAATGGCTAAATTGGTGAAATTTGAGGTTTCCCAACCCCAAACAGTAGATACACTCCCTTTGATTGTGATGTAAAGTAAAACAATAGAAAAGGCTTCCACAAAAGGTCTTCCCCACATATTCTAGTTTTGGAATGAAGTCTGGGGGAAGCTGAGGTACTGTATAAAAAGCTTTTGATGAAGTTTGAAGTTTTCCCATTTCTAGTTTGCTTACTACAGTTACAAAATTCCCTTGGGATTATGACTACAAGACAACAGCTTTTGAGTGTGGAAGCAGCAAAAACAAAACAAAAACACACAAAAATGAAGTCTGAAGCTCAAGGGGGGATTAACCCTTTTTTCTTTTGTTGCGGAGTAAGAACAGAATAGAAAGTAGTGTTGGGGGTGGTGGTGTTTTTAATATATTTTTATAAGGTTGAGATCATGGTGTCAGATTGCGGTTGTCTGAGCTTACCCCAGCATTGCAAGAGAATCCAATGAAGAGACTCGTGGGGGTTGTCATCATTGTTACAATGGAGAATCTCAAGAAAATTATTTCTCATCATTTTTTTAAAAATATTTCTGTGAATTCTTTCTCTCAATTGGGATCTCTTCATTATTTATCATCAACTTCTCCTTTCAATTATTTCTTTCCATCATTTTTCTTTTATTGCATGCTTATGATATATTTCTTCATTAAGATTGGATTTTTTTTTCTTTTTTGGCTTCTTCAAGTACTGATTAGGATAATTTATGAAATTCACTTTTATTGAATCATA